CCAAGATGGCAATTGTGGTTAGACCAGGGATATGGTTAGACATAAAAACTGAAATTTTGTTTAATATATTTTGTCTGAAACTGTGTTTTAAAAAGATAAGATTAATGATACTCTCTTAGATCACTGAATTAAATAGTTCATGCCCTTCTGGCTCTGAAATGTGGCTAAAGAACTTAAGAAACTTGATATTTTGTTATGTATGTATTTAATTTTGTTCAATTTCCTCTGTATCTGTAATCTTTAGTTTGTACAGGGCTTTACTGAGAAAGCAACCCTGTTGGAATACAAATGAATTAAACTAATTAATTAATTTTTAAAAAGTATCATCACTATCTTTTGGTGACCCAACATTTGGTCTGAGCCTTATTTTGTCAAAAGTAAGCGTTGGGGTTAGTGTTAGGGTTTGGGTTAGGGTTAATTCAGTGTAGAAGTCCAGGGTTGAAATCCATAAATTTGGCTAGTGTAGGAAGTTACTGTGGAGTAATTGTTGCAGGTGCGTGTGACCTACAACTATATTTGGTAAAGAATCCTAAACCTTGAAAGATGAAAAATGGCAATGAAAGAAACAGAGCAGGTCTATATTTGCTATATTAGAACAACCAATTTGTCTCAATTTCCACATCAAGAAATTACAATGACCTATAGTTTTCCTTAAGGAGGTTGGTTTAAGCTGGAAAGAAAGAGATGTGGAAACTTTCCTTTAAGGATAGGATCATCTCAGTTATTTTAAAAGCAAAGGAGATTTCGCTCGCAGAAAGATTGGTGTGAATGGTTAATCGCTTGTTGATGCTTTTTGAAATCACATGGGTAGGTTGAAACTTCAGTTCAGGATTAGGTGAAATGTTGTATTCTGGGTCGAAGTAATTAAGCTGTGAATAGCTTCATTTACACTGCAAGCTAAAACCATTGGTTGTTCCCACGTTCGTCACGTGACTCTTCTCTCTTCTGTGCTAACGCATACAGGACAGCGACAAGTGGCACATGCGCACAACTCACACACAAAAGAAACGCAGAATTATCAAACACTGAAGATTTCTTATGGGGGTTTTAATGGCAGTCCAAAGAAAGGATGATTTTTCCAAATGTTTTTTTTAGCTGTGTAAATGGGCCTAATGTGGTCAGTGTGAGAAAATGATGGCAGAACATTTGTTGCTGAAGCATTGGTCCTGCAATCATACATGCGTTATACTTGCGATATATAACAGGAAAAAATGTAATCTAGATTGGAAGCAAGATTGGAGTGGTAAGGGGGTTTACAATGTGAACAGGAGATCACTGCAACATTTTCTGCTGTCTCAATTTATACCCAAACAGGAAGATCATGCACATAGACTCGGAACACAGTCCTGACATGTGTCCTTAGAAATGAAGCGGTGATGTGGGAGGTGGTTTCCTACTTGCTTCAAGTTCATGATCTCAATAAATTAATATGAACATGTTTCAAAGCAGGCGTCGCAATAGTGTAACTTTTGAGAGACTTGATCTTTTCTTAGGAATACTGTGTACTGGCTTTAACCCATTCCCTACAGGAAGCAGGTGGATCCTGTATGAAGCCTATGGGAGTAAGAGAAGTCAGTAGTCTGTGGGTTACCAGAGTTGATACCTTTCTGATCCTCATGAGGAAACTAAATACACATGAACTGTAACTCCTATCGCCTTCTTTGAATCCGGTTATCCGTTAGTCTGAAAATAACTTCTTAAATCCATGTACTCCTTCCTGAAGTAGGAATTAGTTTTTTTAAATGTAGTTCGAATCATGAATAAGGAGTTCTGAACACCTAAAATGTCGTTTGGCCTCTTTTGAGTTGATATTAGCATCGTAATTCATAAAATAAAACTTAATAAATAATTTTTTTTAAAAGTGTTCCTGAATGAGAAAGATTCATAGGATTAGGAATACGTGTGCATTCGTGGTATGAGGATACAGGATATATCTATTCGCTGACTGAGTATTATCGGGTTTAGACTTGGGATTAGCCCTGAGTCTAAACTCTAGAGATTTCCTCAAAAGATCTCCACCTTCTTTTGATACTTCCTCACAGTGAAAGATCATGCCATTTGCAACAGCATGGCAACAGGTTGTCTGTCAGGATACGGGTGTCTCCTTGTCTTGCTCTGCACTGGTCTACAAGACCTAGGGATATGTCCCTACCTCTGAATATTTTCTTTGATTTTTCTTCTTTTTAAAAGCTATTCAGCTGGGGTTTTTTGTTGCGCTTTAGAATGTTGTTGACGTGATTGATATATATTCCTTTTTTTATGGATTGAAAAATTACAATATAAAAAAACTTCATCACATTGCTTTCAAGAACAGGATGTTTCATGTACCATTAAACCTGCAGGAATGAGATACTGCAGTAGCAAATAACAAATGGACAAATTATTTGGGATTGCTGGCCAGTTCTCACTTCTATATAGTGGGAAACTTTAAACAAAATCAACTGCAAAACAAGCTAGAAAATTTAGATCTCGAAAGGTATACTTGTTCCTACAATCACAGATGCCTTCTGTATTTTTAGAGAGATGTAGCTACGGAGGACAACTACCGAAGCCTATATATAAGGTCTTTGATCGTAAGCAGATTGTTTAGCTGATGCTTGCTTACCCAAAACAGAGCAGATATCAAATCTGATCATATGATCTGCCTAGAGCCAGAAGGGCATTAATTCATATCATTTTACACAGAGTTAACACCCTTCTGGCTCTCAACAGATGATATAATGAAAATAAACTGTCATTGTGGTGTAGATTTCTGGTGCTCGAGAGGGCAGGAGAGAGTGCGCTGTATCTGGTTGCAAAAGTCAAGTAGGGTGGAAGAATCGGTATCAGTATGCCGTCGGGTCGTCCTCCTCCCGTCCTCTCCGTTGCTCTGTGGGTTAGCTTGAATCACCATCTTCTGTTTATGGGATGCTGTCATCCATGAGTCTCGGTCAAAATATGGAATAAAGCTAACCCTTTCCAATCATAGACTGTCAGCTCAGCTAAAACATTAATCTTAGTATTTAATCTTTCCATGCCTTGTAAGAGTAAAGCTTTTTACCTTAAGTCTTATCCTTTACAGGACAGAGATGCAGAAACCATCTCTTGTTGGTATAATGCATTCATCCTCAAGTCCTAGTCAAAATATGACATTTTGTTAACCTTTCTCACTGAAGAAAAGAGTGGGTACCCATCACAAAATTCCTATGTTCAGGTTAATTCAGGGTATGGACAGATAGAGCCTCATTTTTTCTGATGAAAAAAGGGCATCATCTTCTCATTTGGGGTTGGTAGAGAGAGGGGCGGGGTGATGCCCCTTCTCCTTCAATCAAATTTTTTGTTGGACTGTCCAAAGTTGGGACAAAGTTGGACCTTTTTGCCATGTCTGCAAATATAACAATTTGAGGCCTTTTGGGTCCTTCCAATAATTGTCAGTTTACTTTGCAATTTGAGACTTTATAACAAATTATTTTGACAAACTAATATGTGAAAACCCAGACGAGAAATGTAAATAAAGCATTAACATGAAAGGCCAGTGATCACAATATATAAGGGTAGATGTTTCATGCATGGGTGTACAATTTTATACCGCATGACATTTACTTAGTCAGGTTGGCTATGATGGTGGGTGCAAGTATGTTTAGCTCACTGCAGGTTTGTGAAGGGGACGAGCAGACTCAATATCCGGCAATCGTCTTATGTTGCTTGAGCTAGGTGGTTTAAGTAAAGTTCATCGACACCAACTGCATGAAGGGTAAAAATGTGATCTTCAGTGATGTTCTTGGATCAATAGTTTTAAAGTTTCTTGAGCATTTTCACCTCCTGATAAAAATTTGATATTTGTTGATGGTTAGTTTGTTTTCTTTTATAGAAAAATTACTAAGAAGAAAAAGTCTCCATTATTTAATTGACAAAAAAAATCAATGTCTTAAATATTTCACAAGAATGAGTATGCTGTCCTTAGAACCCTCTTTGATAATAAGCTTCACAACTTTCATGGACTATCCTGTTAGGTTTTGAATTTTAAAAACATTTTTTTCCCCATTTGAACTTCAAGCTGGTGTAACCTCAAAGTCAATTGCGTCCCCACGGCATATTACGCTGCTACTGCTGCTCCCAGTTGTTGCGCAAACTTTAAGATCTGCTGTGATTTGTAACTTTTAACTCAAAATTCTGTAACCAAAAGTGCGTTCACACACGGTCCCTAACCACAAGATAATTTCAAAGTCTATAACTATGACCTTAACTTAAAGTTAACCTAGCAGAGTGTCGTGTGAACCTTACTAATCTCTCATACCCTCCCTCGCACCTGGATCTAAAGATCGCTGGTGTCCCCCGGTGGATGACATGTGTTTCAAATGACCTCTGGCCAAAGTGTTGCTGTACATTACAACATTAATCGCACGACTCAAACATTTACATTTTGCTGAGTAATTCTAGGGTCGTTTGGCTTATTCTTTCCTTTTCTTGAGCCATCTTCAAGTATGTCTGTAAGGATTGGAGACTCTTCTTCCTGATGTGTTGATGAATGTGGTCACATTATGTCCAGTGGTTTCCCCTGTTTGAAGACAAAAAAGAGCTTTGTAATTCTTACGAAGCTGAATTTTAATTGGTTCAATTTTTTAATCAAACTTTGTTACTGTCAATCTTTAGGCCTTGACAACATATAAATCAAAGCATTTTTGTGATTTATTTGTATTGTATATCTATTGAAGAAATTATGTCAGTGTTGTTTCATACATTCAAGGCATATGCTCAGGATGGAAAATCACAAGTTACAATGAGTTTACAGCATATAGAACTGCCCAGATACATTGTTCTGCCCAACCTTTGGGGATGCCCCCCCCTCCCTCCCTCCCCCCCCCCCCAATTGTATGGATATGCCACTCACTGTATGTCAGTTGAATCTGTTTTCAAACATTCTTGACTCTGTTAAAGGGCTCACGAGGTTGTACATGTATGTTACAAATGTTTAGAAAGCATAAATTCATAGCATTCTTTATTTTTTCTTTATCATACAGAAATTCCACCTGCCATCCACAAGCGGTTTCCAGCAGAGTTACCTGTGAGCTTGGGCCACAACATCACACTGCATTGCCCAGCATCGGGGAATCCCCCTCCTAGGATTAAATGGCTTAAGAACGGTGACTTTCTCTTCCAAGATACCTATGGAAGGATCATCATCACACAAGGTAGGTTGCTCTCATCGCACTATGCCTCTGACATGGTCACATCATCTTTTCAGAGCCAGGAGGGCGTTAACTGTGTGTTAAAGTAAATTAACTAATGCCCTTTTGGCTCCAAACAAATGATATGTAACTACCCTGTTGCCCATACAGTTGGAATACATTTTCTCAACTCTTTTCATGAAATGATTGTGACAATAATAATAATAATAATAATATTGGATATTTATATAGCGCACATATCCACCCTGCAAGGTGCTCAAAGTGCTCCAATAACACCCCGGCTCTGCTAGGCTACCGATGTCGGTGCTCACAGCATTCAAGGAATTACTTCCTACCGGTCCCCATTTACTTCACCTGGGTGGAGTGTGGCAAATGTAAATCAATGTCTTGCCAAAGGACATATGGGTTATTCTTAAAAGATAAAGTTTATATTTTCTCACTTAATCAATCTTTATCACTTTTTAGATTTATCTATAAAGTTCTGTGAAGATATAAAACTTAAACTTTATTCATGAAAAATTAATCATAATAATTATTCTCACGATCACGTCATCAAAAGATATAAATTCCACAGAGATTTACACAGTTACTTTCTTCTTCTTTTGAAATGAGACATGAAATGAAAAATTCTCACATTTGTTTAAGATTGAAGATGCCCTTTACACATTCCAAATGTAATTCAGATTCTTTCTTACAGCTTTAGATTGCAAGCCTGATAACTGAAATAGTTATTCAGGCTTTGTTGAATTATAGTTTGTCAGGATACTTATAAGGTTTAAGTTAAGTTTCAAAATATTTTTTTTCCTCAGTTATTATTTCATGTTGTAAAAGCATTATTAAAAGAATCAACATTAAACTAGTGTAAGATAAGGATGCAGAGGTTGCATTTTCCTGGTGTATATAATGTATGTAATGTAGTTCCTTTTTGCAAACTTGCTTTTGACATCAAATAGAGATGTCAATTTTGAATGGTGGTGTCGCAAACAACTTTGATTTATGTAACTGTCAAAATATTACACCACTGTTGGTCAACATTTTTGGTTTCCAGTCATCTGTAGTTCCTCCTAGACAGCAAAAGTTTGAGATATCAGAAAGCCTTCATAGTTTCTTGAAGAATGAGAATACTTCCTTCAAACCACTGGACCCAGTTTTAAAAACAGTTTATTCTTTATGGGTCTTTTGAGACATAATAACTTATCTGTAAGGCTCCTTGGGGGACATGTATTTTTGTCAAATTTTTGTTCAACTGTTTTTCCATTTTCTTATGTTTTGTTTTCTGCCATGTCCACTCTTGTCATTATTTATTTATTAGATGATTTTTATTGACTGCAAATTGATTTCAGTCAGCCTTCAAAGAACAAAGATAGATTAGAGAGAAAAGTATCTTTTTAATCTCTTATCCTAGATGATAATAAAAGTGAGCAATGAGTAAATACTTCTTAACCAGAATGAAAATATATATATATACGAAAGAATTGTAATTGATCATCCAGTACATTTACCAAAAATGTTATTGTTATTCTAAATTCAGGACGTTAAAGGTACTATGTCCCATTTGCAGGCCAAAAAAATGAAAAAGTTAAATTCCAACTGCATTTGAAAGATAATACTAATTTAGAACTTCCCTAAAACAGGTGGGGCTCGAAAATGTCTTCAAGTGGGAAAATAACGACTATTAGTTGTCAAATCGACTTTAGGGCTATAGAGCCCAAAAGTAATAGTCTTGATTTTCAGACAATTGTACCGAATGGTCATACGTTTTATGCTGCGCAAAGATTCAATCAGTTTAATCTTGGCCATCACAAGAAGTGGGTTATTGATGTAGACAAATGCTCATGTACCCTTTACAACTATTTTCATGTATGTTATTACCAAAGAAGAAAAAAAGCCAGTCAGTCACTCAATAGTGTCTGACAGTGAAGTCTAGCAAGTAAACGGGTTTCCTTGCATAATTTGAATATGAGGACACTGCTAACGTTTAAATTTCACAGATAGGACATACATGACATATTAATAATTCCTGCAAAGTTCTACAGAATTTGAGGTTGGCTGCAAAAGGGACATAGTACCTTTAAAGTCTAAGGCTTCTATGAGTGGCAGATTGAAGTTTGTGATTGATTGATTGATTGATTGATTTTTATTCGACAAGCTTCCAACATACAACAATATACAATAATAACAGATCAAAAAAAGTCAGCTTGAACAGGATAACCCACGAAAGCTCGAGAGCTTATTTCCAGTGGGGTCCCTATTAACGATTAGTATGAAAGTAAACAACAGTCCAGTTTAATAAGGAAATATAGCATTCAACATAGCTGACTTTTTACATCAAAGAAACTATACTGAATCAATTTTCGTGAGAAAATCTTACATTCCTGTATCTATATTGGAAACTTTGAACGGAAATACCATTGTTTTTGCTTTACACGCTTACTCACTCCCTGATCACTGCACGGTATGATTTTCTGGTCTCGCGGGTACTATAACATATCTGCTCCATCCAAGAAAAATCAGACCTCGGAAATTAAGACGTCAAAGACGGAGAGATTTGGGAATAAATAAATCTACCAGAAGCGACGCATACTGTAGGCACTTTAACCTATTTATGCGATTTTGATGCAACAAACAAATTGAGAAATTAGGTTTGTTCCAAATGTCATCTCCCTCTTTCCAATTTTGATTGCCAAAAAAAGAGAAGGACTTGTTTTGAGAGTGTTAGTAATTTCCTGAATTTTCAATAGTAATTCTTAAATACCAGTATTAATGTCTTACTATTTTCAAATTAATGCTTAAGGTGAAAGCAAAAATATTAAAATAATTTAACTCACTCATCCTTATAGAAGTTTTTAATAAAGGTAATGTCGATGACCATAGCTTGGGATACATATCTACAGGTAATCTTTTATTTTTTACTCTTTGAGAATTCCATTGATACACCTGATTTTTATGGAAACTTGTCTTGGAATACCATTTCAAAACATTTCTCATCAGAATTTGAATAAATCCATCAAATTTAAAGCACGCATCAAGTCATCTGCAATTCTTATCAAGACATTTAGAATTTAATTTGTAGGTATTTTATAGCTATCGCTTTAGTTTTTATTCCAATTTCCAAGTCCTATTTATCCTCCCGTCAGGGGATGCAGAGACAGACTTTTGTCTGCACCATGCAAGGAATTATGGGAACAAATTTCACTTGTCTTTTAGCTCATGAATCAAGAATTTGTACCACTTTTTAACTTTTTTAATTCTCTGTTTAAGATGTAGGATTTACTTGTGAAAAATTTTGATGACCCTCCCAACTGTTACTGTTACTAAAACAAGAAATTTGCCAATTGAAACATTTTTCATCAGTCAATGATTATACAAATCCTTGAATTGCTGTCAGGCAGTATTTGTGAATTACCAGTAGAAAAAGGCGTTTTATCAAGTGTACAGGAAGACAGAAAATTGCTCTCATTCCTTCCTAAATGTGCTCGTTTTTGGAAAGCACTGATAATGAAATGTATCCCAGCAGAGGGAATAGATTATGATTGGCCAAGCCAAGTGAGAGGGGTATATATAGCCAACTTATATGAGGAGGGAGGGGCACGCTGAGGGCAAAAAGAAAGGAATAAGAATTGTATGGAAAGGAAGAGAGAGAGAGAGAGAGAGAGAGAGAAGGGGGAGGGGATAAAGAAGCAAATCTTTATTTTGTTTAAGCACTGGAACTTTTTGTTTAGAAGTTCCTCTAAGTATCCAGTATTACTATTATGTAATCTAACAAATTCATTATCATAGTGGTGTGGTTTAAAACCTTGATTAAAAATGGGAGTGTCCTGGATTCAAACGCATGCATGTCTTTTAGCAAGGCTTTGATTAATATTTGCCTCTCTCCGCCCCGGTGTAGTAAATGAGTACGTGGTACGTTATAATTCATTGACTGCCATTAGCACCAAAGTGGGTTACAGAGCTAAAGCAAAGACAATTATTATTATGATATGATGATGTCTAAATTTGGGATGCACATGTGAAATACTTATGGGAAAGCATTGGACCAAGAAGAAATGGAGAGAGGGGACAATTAAAGGGGTTGAGGGAAAGGGAGGGGTGGAGAGAGGGTAAGATTAAAAAGACAGACAAATATACATATGTAGATCGACAAATAGGCAGACTTGAAATGTCAAATGGGTTTAGAAACCAACTCCGGAAACATAAATGATGAGTAGCTTTGTCTGTAAGTCATTACGATGCAACGTAGGATTTAAACAAAAAGACAAAGAATAAATTAAATTTCAACTCCTCCTTTTTCAGGATGTCCTGCACAAATTAATTGCTGAATCTAATTGTATACAGATAACATGAAGCCCTTCTTGTGAGCCAAATATCGGCAAACTGCTTCCAGCTTTTATGAGAAGCCGACACTTTGATCTTTAGCACTAGACAAGTATACTTCAATAATCTTCAAATATTGGCAAACTGAAGATCAAACATATCATTTTTCTCAGCCTTATTACCATTGTTCATTCCAAAGAGAAAGAAAAGAAACTGCTGAAAAGCACTCCACTGAGTCCACTCTAATACTTGAGTAGAAATAAAACAACATTTACGCAAGCTGTTGTGAAGTTTGAATATGGATTAATATTTACATGAACTATTTTCTAACTTCTTGATCTCATTTTGTTGAATAAAAATTCTTTTTGGGGAGAAGCTGTTGAGAAATAATGCCTTTAAAATGCAGTGTTGTAACTAACACTCAGATTTTCCCCAAAACAAATATAATCTATGAATTCAAAGGCAATAAGGATGGACTTCGAAGCCACTTTGTACTGAATATGTTTGCTTTGAGTAAAGTTCACTAGGCATAGAGAGGTCATTGGGTATTGTTTGCACCTGTATTTTCATGATCTTTCATCTTTAAAAAGCCACTAAAGATAGATGGCCTGGACTCTGATCTGTTTTCAAATGGAAAGAAAATTTGAACTATATCTATAAAATGTTATGACATAGGACATTTTTCACTGGAATTTTGGTTGACGTCAGTTAGCATGAATATGTACCCATTCGTAAGATGTATTTTAGCTTTATCCTCCCACTTTCTTTTCCACCCCTTCACTTGCTACCCCTCACACCCCCTTTCCCAATACCAATTCTCCACACCACACCCCCTTTACTACTCTCACCCATTCCCCTCCCCCTACTCCCCCTCCTCCCCCTCCTCCCTCTCCCCACAGCCCGGTGTGCCACCCCAATGTCAAGGGGAACTTTGAAGGAGGAAAGGGACGCTCCCCTCTTTTCATTACTCCTCCCTTACACCCCTTTCTCTGTTACCCCTCTGTGCCACTACCCCTCTCCCATCATGTCTTCCCCTCCCCTTCCCCTCCCCCACAACCCCATGTGCCACCCTTAATGTCAAGGGTAACTTTGAAGGAGGAAAGGGACACTCCCTTCCCCTAGAGAGCACTGAACTCAGGGGATAAATTAAGGCAGATGGAATCACATGCACATGCTTAGCTGCACTTCATCTAAAATTCTTTTTCCCTCTAAGTGAAGCCTGCTCCTAGGAAAGATTATCTGTTTCAATGTGATTGCAAAAGAAATCCCTTCCAAATTTCCAGATTAATAGATATATCTCTAATGACATGTTCCTCATTTAAACTAATTAAGTTATCAAGAGGTGATTGTTGCAGGGGAAATTGCAATAATACTGCAATTCTAGATTTATTTTTGTCAATTTTATTCTCATACTTAAATGTCACTTCTTAAAGACAGTCTTGTATGAATGCAATATCTTTGTGCTAAGGCGAATGAATTTCATTTATTAATTCATTCATTTGTTGTTCCAATGTACATTCAAACATGGAAAATTATTCTGCTCACGTTTAATGGAAAGGCTCAAGTAATTACTAGTACATTGTATTTGTATTAAAGATAGAGAAACAATAACCAATCAATATAATATGATTATGTGAATATATATGATATAAATAATTTCACTCATATGTACAAGAGGAATAATTAAACAATATTACAATCACAAAATGTGCTGACAACGATGATGATGATGATTTTTATTCACCTCTCTCACTTTTTGACACACCCTTGAAGTATGGAGAAAAATGGAAATTATTGAGTGCTGAATCCTTTACATGAATATGGGAAATTGTATCTTTCCTCTCTAGTAACGGCTCTCATCCTGTTTATATTTCCCATCAACACAGATACGCTAGTCATTCACAAGACGTTGCTGTCGGATAGCGCCGAGTACTCCTGTATCGCCTCCAACACCGTGGGATATGCTAAAGAAGATGTCAGGGTGAAAGTCTCAGAAAAAGGTAGGTATGATCATGAGGAGGAGGAGGAGGAGAAGGAGGAGAATGATGATGAGGAGGAGAAAAGGAGGTGAAGGATTAGGAAGAGGGTGGTGGTGGTGGTGGTGATAATGATGGTGACGATGATGATGGTGATAATGAAGATAATGAAGGTGATGTTGATGATGATGATGATTAGGAGGATTATGATAGGTGATGATGATGGGGGTGGTGTTGATAATAATTATGATCATGATGATGGTGGTTATGATGATTGATGATGTAGTGATAATGATGATGATGGTAATGATGTTGATGCTTGTGTTGGTAATGGTGATGATGATGATGATGGTGATGATGTTTTATAATGTTATGATGATAGTAATTTTATAATATTAAAAGGGAAAAAATGATTTAGGAGAAACATGATGAACCTAAATGGCCTTTATGCCAGAACATTTGTTTTTAATTGCTGAAATTATTGTAGTAGTCACATTGTACTACTACAAGGTGAAAAAAAAATTAATTGAGATATGAGTAAAAGACAATTGGAACAAGACAGAAAGCATTAAAGGGAGAAAATTATTTATGATATATAAAGAGTAATATTTTCTGTAATCACAACAAATAATCAAGAGTGTTGACCGTACTTAGTAAATCGCTGAAATAATTTTTTCTTGAGTGACAGTGGCTTAGTGCATTTTTGCGTGAATTTGTGGTTTTCTGGTTAGTGAGGGATAAAAAAATTAGCCCCTTAATTGCGTTTGATGCCCATAGCACTAGAGGTGGTATGCACTTTATCTCAAAATATCTGTGAGCGAAACTGGTACGTTCTCCATTAGGAGCATGTCCCAGTGTATTCAATTAAATTTGAATTTACACTCCACTTCATATGAATGCATTGTTGAATTAAGAAAGCGTCAGTTAACATTTAGAGAACACTTCATTGAGTTCTGGTGACAAAGAAGTGACAGAAATCTGTCATTCTTTTGTCAAGTTTGTGTTGACAACATGTTTTATTTGAGTATTTCATTCAGACGTGCTTGTAACAGCATTAGTACAGCCATTATCTAATTAATAATTGAGTATTTCAAGAAAATAAGAAGATGTGATGGAAGTGTTAACCACATAGTTATGACAAATTGAACACATGTATTTCAGCAGTGTCTAAACATCTGCTTAGGTAACACTTTCGCTCTTACAGCCACTATTTTTTTTTAATCGTATGTAAGTGAACAAATATACACAATACAAGACATTTTTATAAGACATATTTTTTCAGATAATTTTTTTTCATGCACTTTTAGACTTTTAAATTTAATGAAATATAAAGCTAAGCTTTAAACTTAATATTGTTAAAAAAAAATTAGGAGGGGGGATGCTTTTCTGTATTGCTATTATTGTTATTTTAGTGGACCTGAATTGATAACAGTCTCAACTTAATCTACTTGAACGATTAATAATTAAGATTCTTGATTGAGTGTTTCTGTGATATATTCTGGTAAACTTTCAGTGCTTGTAAGACATATTCATTTATAATGTTTATCTAAGTTGAGAGCTATTGACAAAGCACTGTTGTTCTTTCACAAAAATTGATTGATGTAGTATTTTCTGCTTTACTTAGGAGCCTTTAAAGTTGTTTGAATTCTCTGTGCTGAGAAGGAGAAATATTGTACTGAAATATCAGTAAGAAATATTATAATAATAATAACAATAATAATCATTTAAAGTCCACTCCAAATTTTATTAAACCGAAAATGGAAATTCTATATGAAGTGATATATGAAGAATTAAATATCAGTGCCTTTATAGAAGACTTTTTACTAGTTTTATATTTTCACACTTCTTTAAATTGTCATGTATGTTCAGCAGGTAAATTTGGAAATACAATTCAAATATTTGATACGGTATATATTTCACTCTGTTCTATCCATGCCTCATAAATGCCTTCTTTACTTAGTTTAGCAGGTCTCGACACTAACCGGTTCCCAAAATCTAAGTATGGACCCCCAAAATGTTGAAATTTGTACACAGGTCGCATGCATAAATATTCAAGAAAGTTCAAACAAGACTACCTTCCAAAAAAAGTTTGTGTGAAGCCCCGCATAAAGATGTCAATAATTTTGAACTGAATTCAATGAAATTGAATTGTGAATCAAAATGGTATCTGGTGAATACATTTTTTTTATTTTTTTATAATTATATATCCTCAAATTGATTATCACTATACAATAGATTGTATGGTACTAAATAATGATAGGACAGTGCATTTTTGTGTACAGTAGACAGGTCAATGGGAGGCTCATTTTCTATTCCTCTGAATTCCTTGCCCAACCTTGCAGCGATAAAGAAGGACATAGGCTGCAAGGACGGCACCATAGAGGGCCTGCATCACATGCGGAGCATCGCAGCCTGCAGCGGGGCTTGGAAGGGTCATGTCAGGAAGGGAAAAGCCTTGTGCGCCCACGGCTGGCGGGTGTGTAACCATGAAGACGTGGACACGCTCAAGCACATATCGTGGTTGGATGCAACGAGCATGAACGGATGCTATGCATACAATGCTGCCAACAATGATGGTGTTTGCACAAGGTATATGATGGAGAAATTTAAGCACTTTTTTTTTTTATTCCTTCCTTTTGATTTCTTCATTTTGCTCTGTATTTGTATTAAATATTTAGTGATATGAAAAGGTGAATCGATGTCTGTAAATCTCTCTCTCTCTCTCTCCTCTTTCCTTTTTCATTCTCTCTCTCCTCTGTTGTATCTTTCATTGTCTCTATCTCTTTTTCTTCTTTGTTTCCGATGAAAATTACTCTTCCTTTTTTTTTTTTGGGGGGGGGGTAGATCTTTTTGAATGATAACATTTTCTACATCCTAAATTATGGAATGATCAGCTAATCTATCGTACTTTTATATTGCTTTATTCACAATGATAACCAGTCATTACATATGTTTTTCTCCTCTTTTTTTTTTCAAAGTTAAAAGCTTGCGAATATTCTGCCCTAAGATTTTCATATTGGAATTCTCAGCCAACAAAAGATAATATAAACATCAATATTGCCAGAAGATTAATCTATATGTGCAACCCTTGTCTCAACCCAGTTGCACAGGTGAACCTGGCCACGATGTCCTGGGTGGGATCGGCAGACACTGTTCTAAGAGAAGACAGAGGCACGACTCGTGCCTGGGGGAGGGGCGTATTGATATCTTCCCCTCCCATAGGGAGTTCATGTACGAGATGCTGGACAAGTGCTCCTTCCAGGAGGGTCTCCTCTCAGGTGTACTGTGCTGTAGGATACCAGACAGGCCAGATAGAAAGAAGGGAGGAGCAGTAGGAGGAAAGCAAAGTAAGTTCTTCATGTTTGTCTATCCTGATCTGCCTTATTCATCCTATTTTATGGGAGCGCGTAGGGATACCTGAAGAAGTCTACTCACAAGTTGCTTTAAATGTTAATTTTTTAATTTTTTGTTTTGTTTTTTTGTTGATTTTTTGTTGTTGATTTTTTTTTTTTTTTTTTTTTTTTTTTTTTTTTTTTTTAAATAATTTGTTTAACTTGCAAAATCTCTTACAGAGGTAATGGTTTGAAGCTTGTATTTTGAATATAGTATGGGGGAAAAGAAGAAGAAAAAAACTACATGAAACTACTAACATCCAGAACAAAACATTTGTAGGTGATTGGTACACTTTGACTTTCCTACAGTGAATGGCTATCAGCTGAGAAGTAACTTGATACAAGTATTGTTCCTGTTCCAAAAGATCAATCAGCCTTGCTCTTACGCTTTGGCTTTAAATCGAATCAGGAAGCTTTTGATTACCCTGCCAAATGGATGTCGAGCTTTTTTAGACTTGAGCAAGATGGCCTTTTTGGCAAGCCGCTAATCCTCGATTGAAGATGATGAGGTAAAGATGGCAAGCTGGAGTAGGAGAGATGATGGAAGTTTGGATGAAGACTACCACAAGAAAGAAAGAAGGGACAGAGAGAGAGAGAGAGGGCAAGAGAGAGGGGGATACAAATCAAGAGACGAATAAAGACGGGGAAAATCAGTAAAGGTTTTACTTTTAGAGGTGAATTATAAAAAAAAAAGACAAAGGAAATGATAAAGAAAAAGAAAAAAGCAATGGGAAAAAGTAGGAAGGGAAAGAGAGTATTAGTAAAGGGAAAAGGATTATTGTGTTTGTAATTCATTTTTTTAAAGAAAATATTCTTTATCTTCTTTTTTTAATTTGAAGTATTGACAGGTATTAAAAAGTTTGTTTTTAATATTATGAATGTAAAAAAGAGATCGAGAGGGATTTCAACCCACTAATCTCAAGCTATACATTCCTGTATAAAACTTGTGAGCAAAATTGTTCCGTTGATGACAATTTATACTAGTGTTACTTACACAGTATAAAAAGTTGATCATATAAACAAAAAATAAAAAGCCTAAGCCTAAGGCTTACAACGTAAGAATTGAAGCTTTCAAAACATTTCTAAACTGGTAGATATATTTCCTTACATTCCACCAAGCTGCTAGTTATCTCTTGTGAAAAAACAGATACATTGAAAAATAGATAAATGATATCTGCTTGAATATAAACCAAATTGATGAAAAGTGTTATCTCATGATAGTGATACATATTTAGCCTTCTGTACTGTCTACTTTATCCTCTTATATATAGTGCCATTTTTAGTAGTGAAAGAAGGGGTTTCACAAGCTCCTTTTTCCCCTTCCTTATTTCCTAAAATCATTACCGGTAAGCCACCAAGGGTAAACATTGATCAGCGATGAAATGTCCTACAGACTTCTAGGGAGTTATATATCTCTTTGTAATCCCCCTTTATTGGTCCCGTTGTCCATAGGGGCGCACCTGCACATTAGAAGCATATACAGGCCTGGTCAGTCCTCACCAATAATGAAAAATGATTGATAAATAGTTCCTGAAAAATCGCTTCCCTATTATTAATGTGAGAAAGGAATCAGTCATGCAGACCTCAACTTTTTATGCTATCCTATCTCAACTCATTTTTGTAGTCTTGTTGGGATCACTTGATAAGCAATTTCTTAAGGGCAATGATATGATATTTATGAGCCAAAATTGCACCCTTCAATTTGACGTTTGTATCAAAAGAAGGAATAGACAGCTAGTGTTTGATTGACAGGACCAAAATCAGGGACATCTGACCACTTTTATGGTTAAAAAACTAAATGTGGATATAGTTTATTATTATTGATGAGTTCTGACTAGGCCTATCACTTAAAGGTAATACAAAGTTTTGGGAAATTTTGAAAATTGGGCGGATAGTGATTCTTTACAATTTTGATATATTTGGATGCCCTATGGATGCATTATAAGCACTAGAAAATTTAGCAAAAAGAAACACTTCTGCTTTCAAGAAAAATTGAAAATAAAAATTTGCCGGTGCTCCCAGTAAATTTTGATAAATTTCAAATAGCACCTACGGCCGTACAATGGTAGCTGCGACCATGAAAATCTCAGAATATGTAGTTGTGATATATAATTTCCAAATAGGAATAGCTAATGGGTCAATTTTAGTCAAGAAACATTGTTTTATAGCTTATTTAATATCTTGACCTTGAGAGGGAGCTATACAACAGAAAGAGTTTATTATTTAAAATTTCACAACTTTTGACTTGATTTCAACCGCGACAATGATTAATGAATACTGTAGGATCGCATATGCTTCCAATGTGTTCATTTGAACCAAATTCATGACCCCATACCAAAACTTTGTATTACCTTTAACCACCAAGGCAAGATCCTTGACGGTGCAGAAGGATCACGCAGGTGTGCCTAATCTTGGCCTAATTGCCCCCTTTATGATCTTGTACTTGTGTCCTATGGGAGCCATTCAGTCTAATTTCCTCAAGAGCAATAAAACAATCCCCAGGCCATTATCAAGGAAATTTCCTATAATGTGATGAAAGGGCTTAAATCATGTTCGATAGTGAAATGTGTTGATACTGACTCTAAATTGGTTGATTGGCTCTCATTGTCTTAGTTGATAATGTTTTTCAAAGAGAAAGAATGAGGAAGGGAGAGAGACATACAGGGAGAGAGAGAGAGAGAGAGAGAGAGAGAGAGATGGAGAGGGAGGGGAGATAGAGAAAGACAGGAGCACAAGAGGAGAGGAGGGAGAAAGATATTATGGAGTGAAATTCACGCAACATATATTTTAAGAGAGAGAGGGAGATATGATAATGTGATTTATTGTGATGACTATGAGATACAGATCAGTTTATCAAGCTTTTAATGTGATAATTGGAGTAGCAATTATGATTATTTGATTACCGCTCCTTAGATTGCATGCCTATTTAAACTCATTGATGAATGATTCCATGTTTGTCGATATTTAATTGGAAAGATATTTACCGGTAATTTGAATAGTGTTAACTGCACCTCTAAACCACTGACAGCCTTATTGTTTTGTGTCTATAATTGATTCTCAACTTATGTTCTTGCTACCTTAGCCAATGCCCTCTGTGATTCAGAGTGTAGGAACGGCGGCCGGTGCATAGGAGCAAACAGATGCTGGTGTCCCGAAGGCTACAAGGGCGCCCTCTGTCAAATTCGTAAGTCCAATCAACTTATTTCAAAGAAGGAGATGTTTACCTATTTCTTTCTTCTGTAAGATCATAAACTTTGTGACGTGGAGCTTTTGTGAAATGTAAACGACAGCGGATTCCATGGCAAGAAACATTTGGGAAGTGGAAAATTCGGTGTGATTCAATTTTTTTTGCGACATGAAACTTTCATATATCTGAACCTCTCACAAAATTTGTGAGCATTTCATGCCCATGGAAGATGGTGGTTTTAAAGTACTTTCATATGCAATGGGATTAAATGAATCCCTATTTCCTTTTTAAAATGCATAAACCCATTTTCTAATGGAACCAGGTGGTTCTTGTATTAAGCCATGTACATGAGAATGAGAGATTCAGTGGTCATTGGGGTAAAATTGTAGAATTATATTAGGTGATATATATAATTGGAATTTATGTTATCCTTTCCTTTTTAACTTTTATCCTGTATCCTTACTTTTTTCCATCCCATTTTCTAGCTGTCTGTGATCCTGAGTGTCCTGCAGGCAGTGATTGTGCAAAGCCAGGAGTTTGTGAATGTCTGCCTGGTAAAGAGGGACGGAAATGCAGGAGAGAAGGAAAATCAAGAGGGAGAGAAGAGGTCTCAAGAAAACCATGTAAGAATCATCTCATTCATCTTCTGTTGGGTTGTACGACACATGCTCCTGCCAATATTGCTCCGCTTCAATCACCTCCACTATTAAACTGAATTCTTAACGTCAACCCTAGGCTTAAGCAGGACTGCACTACTTGTAGCTACTTGCACCCTCTGTAATAGCACACAATGCCTAAGCACTACATGTTGGTCCCCCATGATCCCCTTTTTCTTATGTTAATTGAGAGCTGATTTGACGAGATAACCACCTGTCAGTGACCATGCAGGGGGTCTAATCCCTCCTGGCCAAACTAGTGCGGATAGGCTTTAAGACTAAACCTGCCCATAACTCTAACCCTAAACCTAAACTAAAACCCAGTTTCAACCCCATCCCAACCTAACACCTGTTGCTGTGCTGACCCTAACCTGATACCTTTAACGAAATAAAGTCTGGAGCATTTTGTGCCGGAGCAATGTCAGGATTTTCACAGATATTTCATTTGTATCAAATAACTATTCAAAACTGTATCTTTCAAACTCAAGCTGCCACTTATGTTTCTTAGCGAGAGAGTGGAAATACTTTCCTTCATTTCTCTTTCTTTGGAATGCGATTAGTTAGGACAAATGAAAGGGTGATTCTTAAAAGATGATACTCTGTTGCCAACCACCCGAAATGGTTTCTGCTTGCCTGTCTCTCCCATCCTAGACAACGGCTATCACTTGCAAGGACAGGAGAGGGGATATTAGCCTTAATCCCAAGGGTTTAGTTCCAGTCAATAGCACTCCTTTAAAAGGGGTTAATCCTAGGATTAAAGACACAGTGGACACTCTTTAATCCATAAACGCTCCGCTGGGAATTGAGATGCTAGATTGACTCATTATTGTCTGACTGCCAGTTAACACTTTCCTTGACTAGGAGAAAGAGGTTTTTTTAACGTCTTAAGGAGGATATATCCTTCGTGGGGTTCTAAAATCTGCCTCTATTTCTTCTCTTTTGCTTGTTCTTCTAACCTTTAGGAGTACATAATATCCAAGAAAAGTTAGGGCTTCATTCATTAGACCATGAACATAGTATAGCAGATTTATATCAAGTTAATGGGGCTTTATCTGTCTATCATTTAGGTCGTATTTTCTCATGAACAGCATACGATGATGCATTGAAACTAATATTGAAGGATAAATAAAAGTTGCATGAATCAAAATCTTAGCCAACTTGTCAAAATCTACGGCACCTGTATGTTTCTTCCTATTGAAAAAAACTTTCTTCCTGTGAAAATGGCCATCATTAACTTTATTATTTTACAGTAGTCTACATACACTTCAAAACCAGTTTTAACTATTTTCCCCTTACACACTATTGGAGAAAAAAAAGTTAGGCTAACTCAGATTTAATGATAACATGGAAGGGGGATCCCCCCTGGGATAAATATAGCCATGGGGGTGTGGAATGGGCAGAAGTTTATCGGGACAATTATTCATCGTTCAGGATGTCCGATAAGATTTCCTGGACATCTGGGATGTAGGGTGACGCCTTTTGGAGGCCTCGGGAGAGAATTGACCAAACAAAATGAAAGGTGAAGATCATTGGTCATTTTTCTTCCTTCTAATACCAGCTCTTGGTGTCCAATATTTAAGATGCTTTTTAATATTTCATGTAGCACAAGACGTTACAGTTGTTGTATGTTAAATGCTCTATGTAATAGTGATGTACATTGTGAATTTAATGTCAATTTTACATAATTTCTCGAAGAACCTCCGAACTGTATTTAGGCAAAGATCATGAAGCTTACATCAAAGGATAGATGATATTCGTTATCTATATTTTCATGACAAGTTCTATCTGTACATGTCTCAACATTCACATTTCATTATTCTCTCTCTCATTCTTTTTTGGCTGTCTCTTGTTATCTCTCTCCATTTTCTTTCTTAATGCCTTACCAGAGCTAAAGCTCTCTCTCTCCCAAACCCGTAAGCAATGAAGAATGTTTCTTGAGGATAACCTCTCACCCTGTCCAACTCATTTTTTTTTAAGAAGCAAATTTTGTCTTGATTAAACTATACCAGGGATGGGGATAGATAGAAGTGATTGGGAAGGGGAGGGGAGGGGGGGGGGGGGGGCAACCCTGGATTCAATCAGCAGACTATCGGTGAACCCTAAAGATCTCACAGCAGATAATGTCCTGTCTGGCTGATACTGTATCATCTTACAGTCATGTCCATGTATCGGAATTCCGTACCCCTCCAGCTAAACTACCCCCTTCATCAGCCAAGCAGTGGTCCCTTTCAACACCAGCACCGGAAAATCCACAAAATCGGTGGTTTATTAACTCTGCATAAACTTGGGAATTATGAGCGTGGAAAAGGGGCATGTATAAGTGTGACCTACAAAATTTAGAAACCTCCCGATTCCCGGTTTTCCTATGTCTTCTGATTTCAATTTGTTCTTCTTTTTTGTTGTTATCTCTTTCTCTCTCTCTCTCTTTCTCTCCCTCATTTCTCTCTCTCTCTCTCTCTCTCTCTGCCTCTCACTCACTCTCTCTTTCTTATCTACATCTACTTCTTTCTATATTTCTATGTCTATCTCTCTTTATCTTGAAAATACTGGTATGCAATCATTATGTTAAAAAGATTCCCATCAGTCTCCAGGGAATTATTTAGATATTCACATTCACATTTCATTTTATTATTGGGTTAAAATTTATTAGCAATACCTCCCTCTAAGCTAACGTTTGGTGATCTGCTTACTCTAAAAATGCACTACATTACATACTTGAGAGTTAATTGATGAGTTGTGACTAGGTGATTAGATGCTAGGCAGATAATTAATGCCAAGAAAAGTGCAAGGGTTCAGCTAGGCCTGGCTGCAGTCTAGTATGAAGAAGTGTCATGGCCAATTTGAGGTGTTTCAAGCTCAAAGATAATTGTACTGATTATATGTTGCCAGATTAGCAGACGTATTTTAGGAAATGCCTTGGGTGCTTAATCTAGATCAGAGTGGTTTCAATAAGGGTCTAAATTGCCTTTTCCACTTCTAGTTGTATTTTTTGGGTATAATATGAATTTGGTTTTAGAAGAATCTCACCCAAATGATGCAGATAAAAATGTTTGTTAATTAAACTTCACATTGACATTTATTGTTTTTCTCAGAACCTGTCAACAATTGGGGTATCTACTCCATTCCAGTTTGATTTAAAAAGATATTATATTACTCACATGAGTTCACAGAAAGCCCAAAACACTATGTATGATGACATCACAGTTCAATATTGGCATTTCTATTCCAATTTTATGAATTATGAAACTGTTATTTAAAAAACTCACACAACTGACAGGTACATAGGAATACAAGGTAGAGAGAGTACTGCATCCCCTGAGAATTTTCAGAATTCCAGTTTTTAGGCTTCCATCATTTCATATTCAGGCAGTCTGGCAGTGAGGTGTTCTCTGTATTACCTTTGCTTACAAAATTGAAAAAATAGACATGTCATATTTGAGCAAAAGAGATACCCCGTTGAGATATTGTGCATAAGATATAACCCTTGAATACATCACGTCGGGATCTCTAGATCTCTATTCTTTGTCCAAGTATTTTATTGTGTCACCTGAGTTTGTGATTTACCATGAATGTGTTATCCTCTTTTTCACAGCATTCTGTGAGTGACTTCAATTAAGGTGAATGTATGATATATAATCATGTCATCTGAACTTGTATATCCTATATATTCTCTTTCTCACAGCATTTGGGTGCAAGAGATTATGTCGGAACGGTGGATTGTGTCATCTAGGACGCTGCTTCTGCCCTGCCTACACAAGAGGCAAATACTGCCAAAGAAGTAAGTCATTCAACTTAACTCATTGCCTACATGAACCAGGGCCCTGTTTCACAAAACTTGTCATCAGTGACAAATGACAGGTTTTGTTATAAGCTACTGAAATCCTTCCTTCTGATTGGTTATCAGCAGATTTGTCACTGATTTTTGTAATTTGTCATTGAAAAAAGGCTTTGTGAAACACCCTCCAGGTGTTCCCTGTATCAAGCCTATGGGAATGAGAGAATGCAGTAGCCAATGGGTTAATTAAGTCTCTTTTATTCATACCTCAGTCACACCATGCTTGCAAAATATGGAAAGAGGGATGTTCCTTTGTGAACAAGTCTTGGGGCATGTAGTGAAAATGTAGTAAACAACTAAATTATTCATACCCCTTGTAAATTTTATGTTTTTTTTAATGTTTTTCGTAACTCAAGAATGAAAGATGGACTGTTTGAATACTTTTAGATGCAAGCTTTAATATGTCACGATTTCAAGAAAAATAAATAGGGACAAATCAATTTTCACATACTTGAAAAATTCCCAAACTTGGCAGGGGTGTGAAGAATTTAGTTTTTAACTGTATACAGAACAAGAGGTGGCGCTGTTCACAGTTTAAGTAGTCATTCAGTTAATTCCTCCTAAATTCTGACACTATCACCAGGAATTCATCAGTTCAATCAGTTGATCCAACTAGTGTTCTCTAAGACTCCTTCTCAACGATTGAATAAGTTATCCTTACCATAAAGACTGCGATAGGCCCTTGCTTTGTTAGGGTCTGGTCAGACCTTGCCAATAACGATATTAATGATAAGTTAGCTGTAATAATAAATTGTTTCCAAATGCTCTCCTACTGTTTAGGTTGAAATAAATTAGAAATTGTTGTAGTAGGTCATACATGTAGCCATCAACAATTTTATCATGTCATTGAGATCGTTGGGCAAGCAATAATTTTTAGGACACTGTAAAAATCCTCACTTGTATCTGTGAGTCAATTACCGGTATTGCACTCCTTCCATGTGATGTCAACGGCAAAAAAAAAAGGAATGGAGGCAGCGTGTATAGTTTTGACTGACAGAACCAATGATTATATTGTTTGGAAAGTGGTGAGGTATGACCACTTTTATCATTATGAGTACAGAATATATATGCATATATTTAATTGTTAGCATTTTAGGTGAGGTCTGATCAGGCCTTAACAACAGTAGAACAATTCTATCTTTGTTATTAATATGTTTACTATCATTTTCCCCACAGCATTGAAACTCCCGCCTGGCACCACGTACACGGATCACTGGGAGCCCATCTTGCGAATGATGAATGGAGTCTAGATCTTGATGAACGCTAGACCTGCAGGACCCTAACCACTGGACCCTAACCACTGGACCTTGGTCTTTGGTGTGGGACCTGACTGTTGACAAATGAAACAGGATTGGCACCTCGTTATGCCAAGAGATGGAACAACTAGCTTTAAGCTGCCCAAAAAACATGCAGAGACAATTTTCCACCACTAGCCATTGAGCATGGATGAAAACAAGAGTTTGAACAAGTCATAGGAACTGTTGATCATCGTGGAGAAATTCCATTTAAATTATTGAAACCTGATGAGACGGATTTTGGCAAACTTATCGCATCGGCTGTGTGGATCTGCCTGTGTTCTGTAAATCGATGTAAATTTTTATTTGTTTTCTGAAATGAAGAGCAAATTATGGATTGGTTCCTGAATCCAATCATGATGAAGCAAAAGATATTCAGGAATGAGGTAAACTTCTTAAGTTGTTACCATGACAATATGAGATGTAAATCATCTGTTTTTGCCCATTGATCTCTCGTATTTCACCCTCCTTGTCACATACTTTATCACCACATGTGATTGGCCTGCAAAGTGCATTAAAATAAAAAGGAAGAAATCCAACCAGGTTCCCTTTTGTACACCTGGGTCGAGGGTGGTAAATGTAGACGTATCTTGCCTAAGGAGATTAGTGTTGTACTGGGGCCTGAACCTGGAACCTGTCCATGTGCATTTAAGTGATCAAACCATTGAACCGCAACATCACAGAATATGTTCAAATGGATGAGAGGAAGGAGATAAGGTGAACTACATTGGGCAAATTTGTTTTTTCCTTAATGAATCATGGTAGCAGTTCTTACAATAAAGGGTTGTATTTGGAGCAAGGAATTATTCCTTCATTTCCATACCCCAAATCCATTCAGTGTCTACCACTATGACTCATTGATTTAAGAATATATATTACACAGGATTGTGAATAAACTATTAACATTTATTTTATTTATTTATTTATTTATTTTGTTGTTTTTTTTGCTATAAAGAATTTGGCTTACAGTATTATTATGATTTCTTATGGACATGAATGAGATAAGAATATACCTCAAGGGTCAAAAGGTCAAATTAGATTTCAATAGTATATTTTTGATAGAAGAAAAGCGATTTAACTGCCAAGATGTGAGGGTAAAGAATGCTCGTGTATACTGTATTCTTGGCAGTTTAATTTAATGTGGGATCATTTTATTTGTTGAATTATTGTGGTGTAAATATTGCGTTTTTATGTGCACTGAAAATGTACTAATACATATTGATTTTTTGTTGTTAATGCTATTGTTTCCTTTGTCAGGTCTGCTTTTAAAATTGTATTCAATATTAGATGTTTGTAAATATAAGTTTTGGATATTAATTATTGATCAAAAGTGAATTATTGATCGACGTGAAAGAGATTGTTGAAGACACATTAAGACTATTTTTCTGTATTTCACAAAAATATAAAAGCATGTCATAATCACCCTAGATCAGTTTATAAAGGTCATTTTCTTTGATAATCTTTTTTTAAATGTAATTATTTGGTTTTTCTTTTCTTTGTTCTGCCTCATCTCTTTCTCTCTCCCTCTAGTAATCTATATGTCTCCCTCTCCTCTCTTTCTCTCTCTTTCTACATACATAATTTTTCCTCATTTCCACATGTTTGTGTCTCTTTGTCTTTGTGTGTATGTGTTTCTCTCACTTTATTTCTTGTGCATCTTTTTCGTTTTCATGCCCTTTCTCTCCATTTCTCTCAATTTCTCTCACACTCTCCTCATCGGCACACACCATCTTTTTTATCTATTGCTCTCTATCTCTCTTCTCTCTCTCTCCCTCTACCTCTCAACACAATATCATACATTTACAAAATAATTTAAATCTAGTTTTTTCAAGCTCCATTATCGATCAGGTGTATTTTTAACCACAACTCATCAAACTTCAGATTTAGTTTCCTAAAGCGTGTCTCCTGTGATAAATATTGGTTATGGATACTTAAGATATTTTAATATACTTTAAGGAGTTTACTGCATATTCAACTTCAGCTACAATTCATTTGTTTTGATAATAACTGTTTAATATTTTATGAGTGGTACATGGCCCTTTATGATGTAGCTGCATTGCATTTGATATTCAGAGATAACTTGGTCATCTATTTGATCATTCATGTAAATATACTGTATTATAATTATAATTATCTATATTTGATGTCTGTATACAGTACAAACATATCATTTGTAATTTAATGTGATTTACGTAAATGATGAGTTTCATTTTGTTCACAAAGTATTCTAATTCTTGAGTTGCACACCAGAATGTCATAACAAATTTTTCCTCTCTGAAATAAAAGAAAGAGTTGATATATTGAATGTTGCACATTTTGCTAAAAACCTAATTTCTTCCTCATATACCAGTTAATTCTCTTGCCATGCCAGCAGCTAAGACTAATTTGGTTGTAAGCAAAGTGATGGTTGTTGCTTTTAATTTGTGCTCATTTTCCTAATGTATTTATCACTCACTGTATTAAATTAGCACTTTTGCGAAATAGATCCTACACTGAAATCAAGTGGTTATATCATTGCTTCATTTGCAGTACTTTCAACAAAGAAATTAAGTGTTATTGAAGTGCTCTGGCATTTTCCCTGGCAATAATCGCTCCAGGCTTTATTTCGTCAAAGCAAATATGGCACTCCCAGGGAGGGGGAGGGGGGCTCCCCCACACTCTTTTTCAATAATTTTCTTTCTAATAAGTGCCCCTTTTCATAAGTGCCCATTTTAACCTCTGATTAGTGTCCATATTCAAATCTGATAGTGTCCCTTTTACTTTTACAAGTTCCCAATTTTTGCTTTCCCCTTCTTATTACTAGTGCCCCTTTTCATCTCTTATTAGCGCTCTTTGTGGGTGCAAGAAGTGCCCCTTTACACTGATAAAAACATTGTTTAATTTGATATGTGCCCTTTGTGGAGGGGGAGGTGTTGAGAGTCAGTGAGAGAGAGGGAGCATGAAAGAGACAATCGTAGAGGATCCAATACACCCCATTAATCAAATAAAGTAAAGTATGATTAGAAACTCCACATATTACAGTTGATTCAAATATTTTGGTGAGGTAGCCCGATAAAAAAATAATAGTAATCAAAATCCGGCCAGTTATACAAGTATTGTTGTTCATGTAAAGGGAAGTGGTCGAAATTGCAAAATGTCAATGGATTTCCCTAAAAATAAAAAAGGGGCCTATGGCGGGAGGCGGGGTAGGGGGCGGGTGGAGAGTAGTGTTGAAAAAACACTATCGGGGAGTCTTGGGGGAGGTCACCCTAAACAGAGGGTATTTTTAATAAAGAGCTTATCCTGGAGCTGCAGCTGGCAGCTGAGCCGGGCCCTACAGCGTAGTGGTACCCGATTGCGTGTGCGCCCAGACCCTAAACATTTTTACATCGGACATATCATATTGGTTTTAAAAATGGTATTATTTGATTTCCAGTTCCCAACATTATTTTGAACTGACTTGAAATTGTTATCCTCGGCCCCAGTTTATTCTTTTATTGGGGTGACGCTGATAGTGCTTTGTCCTCCGAGACAAGGAGAAAAAGTCTCCCTTGTGAATATAGGGACAATACATCCAAATATTCTGCCCATTGTTGCTAGGGGGTTGCTGTCAGGAAGGATTTTTTAGCCCCTTTAGTTAATCCTGCATATTCATAAAAAGCGCCCTATTGAATGCTGAACCAGCTCCAATTTTGATAACTTAATTGATTCGTTTTTTTTAAATAAAGTCCTTGGTGCCATGTCGGGAAACATATTGCATATTAATTCTTCTTTTTTAAATCCAAAGAAAAAATTTAAGAATTAAAGATCTGTATCCCGGTTCCGTGTTCTATTTTTGCTAACATCTACTTTCTGTTTGGTATTCTGCATCGTAGCCCTTTGTCGTAATATATATATATATATATATAGAAAGTATGTCGGGGAGATGCGTAGTGGCATATTTGCATAACACTTCATGTCGGCAGTTTAAAACATAAATGATAATAATATAAAAAATCACTATCATACCAGTTAGTAAAAGAACAAATTTTACGGGCAATCTTGACAACATCGGATTATCACTAATACATTGTGAGTATTTATCAGGCGCGTACGCAGGGGGGTGTTTGGGGGGTTAAACCCCCCCCCTTTGGTATTTTTATGTGTGTAAACCCCCCTAAAAAATCCCTAAACCCCCCCCCCCCCCCTTTGGATTCTTTTTTTTTTTTTTTTTTAATTATTTAAAAAAAAAAAAAAAAAAAAAAAAAAAATTACCCACACGGCTAACCTAAGAAAGGTGACCTTACCCCCCCCCCCCCAACGGAGCAAAATGTAAAATTTTCAAATTTCGAGACCAAAAAAAAAAAAAAGTGTCCGCTTACCCCCCTCCCCCCCCCCCCCCCCCCCCCCCCCCCCCCCCCACTGAGCGACTTTTCGGCTGGCTGAGTCGTTGCGATTTTGTTTGGACTCCAAAAAAAAAAAAAAAGTGTCCGCTTACCCCCCCCCCCCCCCCCCCACTGAGCGACTTTTTGGCCGGCGCGATTTTCAAATTTTCCTGAGTCGTTGCGAAATTTTGGACCCGATTTTAAAACCCCCCCCCCCCCCCTTGAAAAAATCCTGCGTACGCCACTGGTATTTATTATGTATCACGAAAGCGTATCAGTAAATCAGCAATTTTTGCTTAAAAGGCCAAACTCCTGAACACGATTGATTTCAAACCTAGACAAAAACTATTTTGATCTTTATTCAAATGCCAATCCATGCATGATGGTATTTGGATGACAACCTATTAAATTAAAGGAGACATTGTCAAGTATGACATCATTATATTGTTATTCACTTATTCCTTTTGGAGTTTTATATCATAATGAAGGTTTGAATGTGGGTTTTCATTTTTTCTGATCCATACCAATATACATGGAACGCTTGGAACATGAGCGTCCCATTGTTGCGTACGGATTCGTTGATGACGCCATCTTCGGCTTGCAGCAGGTAGGGGTGTGAGACAGCGCGAGATACACCGTCCAGATTCTTGACTAGCCTTCTCCGATCCGATACAAAATGAACGTGACCTATTGAAATAGAGCGTATACTAGTTGCACCTTCATTATTGTATATAATAGGATACTGTCTAAAAATAATAATAGTTAGATCAATTTATATAACGCAGCTACTATATAAATATACTCGAATGCGCTGTGGTGAAAAACGAAACTTCCAACAGTGCTACTTACTTTACAGACACACAATAAAAAATAAAAAATAAAAACCATAAAAAACTTAAACCCTAAAAATAAAAAATGATTCATTGTTGCTCTGTCGGGGAGAGAGGCTTATGCATAGCGAAACTAGTTATGTCAGAGAACGCTTTAATGTTTAAAGGTACTATGTCCCATTTGCAGGCCAAAAAATGAAAAAGTTAAATTCCAACTGCATTTGAAAGATAATACTAATTTAGAACTTCCCTAAAAAAGATGGGGCTTAAAAATGTCTTCAAGTGGGAAAATAACGACTATTAGTTGTCAAATCGACTTTAGGGCTATAGAGCCCAAAAGTAATAGTCTTGATTTTGAGACAATTGTACCGAATGGTCATACGTTTTTTGCTGCGCAAAGATTCAATCAGTTTAATCTTGGCCATCACAAGAAGTGGTTTATTGATGTAGACAAATGCTCAGGTACCCTTTACAACTTTTTTCATGTATGTTATTACCAAAGAAGAAAAAAGCCAGTCGGTCACCAAATACTATCTGACAGTGAAGTCTAGCAAGTAAACGGGTTTCCTTGCATAATTTGAATATGAGGACACTGCTAACGTTTAAATTTCACAGACAGGACATACATGACATATTCATAATTCCTGCAAAGTTCTACAGCATTTGAGGTTGGCTGCAAAAGGGACATAGTACCTTTAAAGTACACGCAAGACATTATACATCAGTTAATTATTTTGTATAGACATATATTTTTAGCAGCTAATACAAACAGATTGATCCAACAAATGCATGGCAAATAGAGTTTGCCAACGTTTCACAAGAAATTCGGTCTACACTTGACGGGGAGATATTGACATTTATCATAATCCAGAAATGAGATGGTACATTTATTCTTAACAGGTGAATGAAATAATTCTTATCGAGGCGCTTTACAAAGGCATATGCGTACACTTAGTAACATAACGAAAATGGCCTATTGTCAGGTGTTGACCTGAATAGGTTTCCCTCTCTATTCATCGATGCTATGTCGGGGTTTATAAGACAGCTTGTTTTGTTAATAACGATTGTGGAATTGATGAAACATGCATAGCATTAGTCCAGAATTTGTCCGGTTCTTTGGGTCGCTGCAAGCCGCCGAAGATGGCGTTTTAACCGAATTCGTCCACCAAGTCCACAGATTTTTTTTTCGCAGTACGTAGTAATTCGAGGATCACGCCACCTTCGGCTGGCAGCGAGTAAGACGGGAGATCGCATTGCTTTGGTGGAGATCGTTAAATTTTAATTGGCCAGATTTGGGACTAGAATAGCATTAGACTGATGCGCTGATCTATTAGACTTCAACTTGAGGTTAGACTTTATAATAACTGTCGACATGATAAAATATTCTTACGGCAAACGAAGAGGGCACAAGTATCCAAACTGATACAATCTGGAGGGGAAAAAAGGATTGAAAAATGTACCCATTTTTTAAGATTGACAATTGCAAAATATCTTCTAAGGGGTGGAAGAATTCACGGCTGGATGATTTAGATTGGCTTAAAGATTATTGCAGTCAATGGACTAAATAAAAAATAATTCTTCGTTTTTAAAATGACGCAACATGGGTATCTTTGTTATTGTTTGTATTGAATACTGTTTTATTGTTATTAGAATCACCTACATTACTGTTATTATTAGTATTATCATTGTTATTATTATTATAATTTTCATTATTATTAAAACTATCATAATCATTATTATTATCAATAATATATTTTTAAAGAATATTTCTGATTATTTTACTCATCAAATCAAAAGAAACTGACATATAATTCACACAATTTGCCAGGAGCTGTTGAAGTGAATCTAATCGTTGTTGGCCTCCGGCATTCAGCTCCTCTACATCACATAACGATACATATACACACACAAATTCTATCTTTTACATTTTCAGTCTTCAACTGCGGATGTATAATTACTTATTGTCTCCTGAATTAAAAAAATCTCCTGTCAACTGTGCCATATTGAATCATTTCCTCCCGGTTTAAGTAGTATTATATTCCTGGATATTAGAATGGCGGTGTTAGTTACAGCTTCGGAGTATAATAGATCCATGTTTAAACCAAGGTGTGACTCGTCAGTGATCCGAAGCCCCTTCTTGAGGGATATATCCGCTACCGACAATAAATTTTAATCGGTGAGGATTAATTCTGATAGAGGGTTATTAATCTAATTCCTCGATAGTCGAGCTATAGAGGAAGGAGATAATCCCGTTACGTGTGACAAGACGGAATAGTCTAATCAATGAGATTGACACCTCGCATCACGAGAATAGAAGGTGAAGGT